ATCAAGTGCTTGGGATGTATCAGAAGCATGCCCTTCATTCACCCTTCCAGAACTCAAACTCATTGGCGAAGAATGACATTTAAATTGGTATTTATGAATAAGATAATTTCCTGACCAGAAACAATGTTTATGTAGCTGTTTTCCTTAAACTTGAGGAGGATAAGCCTGTGTCTATAATTCATTTTCCTTGCACGTGATATTTTTCCTTCCTTTTACTGATTAATTCCTTCAACTGATCTATTTGGAGTACAACATTAATATTAAAAATAGAATTATGAAGATAGCAGAGGAAAAATATTTGATCTCCTTCTGGCAACACAAGTGTATGCATTTATCCAGTGTAGCTATATATGAAAAGTAGAGTCAGCATGAAGTGCCTGAGATGTGACATATTTATAATAGTAACCAAGTTTTACACATTCAGTACAAAAAAAATAAAAAGACGGAGGTTGTGGAGTCTCCGTCTCTGAAGGCATTCAAAAACTCATCTGGATGCATTCCTGTGTGACCTCCCCTTGGGGATCCTGTTCTGGCAGGGGGGCTGGACTAGATGATCTTTCAAGGTCCTTTCCAACCCCTGACATTCTGTGATTCTGTGAAACCTTCACAGATACTGAAATGTTAAGTTTGGAGCTCATTCGTCTAACCCTGGAACAGAGCTAGCTCATCCTAAGTAGAACTGAATCCAGAAGCCCGTATGAAGAGAAGCACTAAGGCTTTCTCTGAGGGGCTTTCCTTTGGGTAAGGGAGGTCTCTGTGCTAGAGAACTGGCACACCATCCTCCACCATGGCTCCTGTTTTTAAAACCCAGCTGCCAGATACCCTGCCTCTGCTATTCTCTAGCTCCAAGCCTCAGTTTATTAATTGATAGTAATTTATTAATTTTAATTTGTTAACTTTGTCGTACAGAAACACAAAGCTAGAGAACAGTTAGCAGCATCCAAAAGCTTGAAAATCATTTGCAATGCTACATTACCGTTTCACAGTTAAGGTGACAAAGCCTCAGGAAATGAAAAAAATAATGCAACTAGGTGCTTAAAATTTATAACAAATTGCTTATATTTAATGAGAATTCTGGAACTAAGAATGTAGAGAAACACTGAGCTGACAAGGGAGCAAAACACCTTAACTATTAAGATTTGTTTTTTCTGGCTTTATTACCATTTAACTCTTTTTCCATATACCTTGGTTTTTTTCAGTAGCATATACTTTGTTACCGAATTTTCCAGGAGAATGATAAAGGAAAAGAAAGATCAAGTTTACAGAATTTACCGATTCAGAAAACTTAGTTTGTCAGATAAATATATCCCACAACCTTCAGTTCTGGAGTTCTTCAGATTCAAGGCAGTCTTCTAGTATGTAACAAGAAACTAATCTTTCCTAGGATTTCTAATTTTTATCCTAGTTTTTTTTTTCTTTTTAAAGCATTTGAAAAATGATTCATTCAGCATTAAGATAATTTCATACAAAGCTTGACATTTAGTTATTTAGCTGCTCTTCATCTAGTAAGACAAAGGAAAGAACCTTTAAAAATACATTTTTATTATTCTCCAGAGACACAGTTGTTTTTTTTAACCTTTACAAACATTTTAACAACAAAAAGAAGAAATAGTGTGAACTTCTGGGCTCTTGGAAGCCTTTAAAAAGTTTTCTCAGATCTTAATAAGGCCAGGTCCTTAATGCTGAAGGAGTTAGAAGCAGGCAAATGAAATCCTCACCCCTACTTCTTTAAAAAAATCCCAAGCATTTACTTCTCTACTTACTTTATAAAGTGTTCTGCTGTAGGTTAAATGTGATGTCTGTGTGCAGGAATTAAGTTTTTCTGACGATGAAAGCTTTAGCACAGTGAAGCAACCGCTAATCCACATTTTTCTGAGATACGCTGTCCCAGGGCTGGACTGTGCATGGCAGCAGAAAAGAGGGCAATCCGAGTAGGTCAGTCGAGGGAAACACTCCAAGCAAGGTGATCCTTAATAACCCCACTGATCTGGAGCAGGAGGTGTCTGTTAAGAGCATCCGATCTATGGCTCTTCTTGTTTACATCTTAAAAGAGCTAAGCTAAATCTATAACCAGGATTAATAAATCTGTAGAATTTTATGGTCTTTTATGCACAGATGCTCCAAATTAAGAGCACACTTCATTCACAAATATATTTTTCTTCTGCCAACAGTTAATGACTGAATGTTGCAGATATTGAAACTCCACCTTTCTCTGTTTTTCCCTTAGCTTGGCTGGTTATCCTGGTCACATTATATTTTTTTCCCATAGCAGAGCAGGATGGAATGCGCCGAGGATGTGCTTGCAATCAAAAAATATGAAAACAAGTAAATTGGTGGTGTGAAACGCTCTTAAGAAGACATTAGTATTTGACAAAGGCTGAGAAAAATGCAAATGAGTCATGGACATTTCTCCAAAGCCTTATGTAGGAAAATTTGTTCTAGTATTTGCTCTTTTCTAACCAAAGCTTTCTACTTTTTTCGTATTTTGTAGTAGGGGCTTAGCAAGAATATAGGTCCCAGATATCTAGAATGCCTACAAAGGTGTCTAAATCAAAGCTAGCAGCACGTTTGAGAAGATAAAGGGTACCTGAAGAAGCATTATATAATGGGCTTCTGGGAGTTAGCTTCTTTAGATACAAGTATCATCATCTGTGATGGTAGCTGAAGTTTTCAGGAAGCTTTCATGAGCACGCAGCTGAGGAGAACACAGCAGTACCCAGCGGGATGTCTCTGCAGAAGAAACTCACCCATAGAGGTTGAACCCTTACTCCTAACCGGGGATAATATAAGAACGCTTCTCATGCTTGCCCCCAGTCAATAGTTTTACTTCAAGAAATTGAAATAAATGAAATTGTGAATTGAATCCATGTAGTCCTCAGGCTACTGGAACACAAATCCTCAATTTACCTAGCTGCAGGGTTTATGAAGGAGCCTCTGTGTTAGCATTAGCTTGGTGCATTTTCTGTCTTGTTGAATGAAGAGCCTGACAGGTCAGATGTGGCTGCTGGCAAGAGGGACTTAACACAGCTACGCAGCTTATCTGATCAGGTATCGTGTGGTCACCTTCTGCCACGCAAGTTTAGTTTTTTACTTACTGTCCATTGATTTTCTCCAACTTAAAACGATCTGATTAAAGGATTTGGATGAAAAAGGAATATTTTTAAAAAGAAAACAACAGTTTCCCCCAGATTTCTAGGAGCTTCACTGGAGTTTTAGTGGATTTGTGATCTAAATGAAATAAGAATTAATTATCTACTGATTAACAAAGGAGGTGTAATGTGCAGCTCAGCCTATAGTTGATGAACAGTTGTGCTCCAACTAAAATCAGCAGGGATTTAGCCTAAGCTAAAGACACGGGTTTGGGTTCATCACCATGTAACACTAACTCATTTTCAAATCTATGCAAAGATCAGCAAATCCAACAGTTCTCTACTAATATAGAATTGGTGTTAAATCACAAGGTTAAAGTCAGATCTGTGGTTGACATTGACTGGAATCAGGAGCTTTGGAGTTGACTTGTCAATTTACAGGTGAAAGCCAAGTTGTGTAGCAGTGGATACCACTGGAGTAGTATTGTAATTCTCTGTACTCCACCTAAACACCAGTGACAAAAGATCCTAAAGAGGGGGTGGCAGCGGCACCTTATACTTCTCTATTCACAGAGCCTGGTTTTTAGTATTAATCAGAGCATCTGTTAAACTGCTGATTTAACCAATATTTAAGCATGCATCGGTCTGTGGTCATCAGGGATTATTGGAACACAAAAGTTTTGGGTACTCCTACTTCTTAGACTGGAATCTTGCTGGCTGCCTAGTGAAATTACAGTATAGGGAATTTCTCCAGCTCCAGGCTTGCTGGGCTTTTATAGAAGCTTTGCTGCTAGTCTGCTGTATGTTCCACTTGCATCAAATAACAAAACTGCAGATCATAGCTGGGCTTTTTGAAATATAAAGAAATGATGTAATGCCTTTTTATTGGCAATACAATGCTAGCTATTAAAATTCAGTCATATGGCATCCCAGGTGGATGACGTTACCCTCCTAGTTTGTTGCTTTCCAATTCGAGCACCCTGAATGCTGTGCTGGGGTGATAAACAGCCCATTGTAGGTCTCTGCTGCTTCAGGGTTTAAAGACAACTTCCTCTGCCATATTTCCTCATGGAAGCTAAAACATGTTGAGTAAGATGTCCTGAAAATCCTCTGAAGAAACTGCTCCTGGAGCCTTAGGCAACACATTCTGAGAAGGTGCTGATGCGTTTTCTAAAGACCAGCTTTATTTTCCCAAGCTCTGACCACAGACAAACTTTTATCAGATAACATGTCAAGATGCCAGACAGCTTAGAGTTGGTCACAGAACTGTTCAAAACACAAATGAGTGGTCCCCTCCCCATGGCTCTCCACGCAGGTCTCTCTTAGTGCTGTTCTAGTAGGTCTCTAGTCTGTGCCACGTGGGTGGCCCAGGGCTTCCTTCTGGGAAGAAAAGACATCTTCACCAGCACAATCCCTGGCCAGTAGATTTTGGCACTACTCTGGAGTCAGCTAGGCTGTGCACAGTGCTTTACTGCTATGTTCCATAGAAAATGCACTGCAGCTGTTTGAGACTGTGGTGAGCCGTCTTGTGGTTGCAAGGTGGCAAGCTGCTCACTGGAGTTTGGAGTACGTCTTGTTTGCCTGCCATATCCTTTTTTTCTGGGCTCGTGCAAGGTGAGTTTGTGGTAGTCCCTGCTGCCAACTCCTGTTATCTGAACCAGAACCATCGGTTGACCTTGGAGCCATCGCAATATGTGATTGACCACATGAGGGGCTTTTGCAGACTGAGGTTGAGTTGGTGTTTTCAGCTGGAGATGAGGGGCAGACCTCAGTGTTCTGCATAGACACAGGTGATGAAATGGAAGGGATGTAGTGAGTGAATATCCACTCCTGTCATGCAGAGGAAGTGGAATGGGGCCGGATGGGACTGGAGATTGCATTTGGACTGATTTCTGGTTTCTTCCTCACTAGGACAAAGAAGTGAACCTGGAGCAGGTCCATAGACGCATGAACAGTTTAATTGATGAAGACATAGCCCACAAGCAAATCTCTCCAGCGTCCATTGAAATCTCAGCCTTGGAGATTGGTGGCATGCAGCCAGCTCAGACCCTGGAGCCGGTACGCGAATACCAGAACACGCAACTTTCTGTCACCACCTTTTTACCAGAACAGACAACTCATGGTGCCAGCAGAACACTCACAGCTGCCTCTGGCAGCGCCCCCCCCCTGCCGCTGCCCCTGAGCAGCTCAGCCACCATGCCCTCCATACAGTGTAAACACAGGTCACCAAATGGAGGACTATTTCGTCAGAGTCCAGTGAAAACCCCAATCCCAATGTCATTTCAGTCTGTGCCGGGGGGAGTCATTCCAGAAGCAATGGAGTCCTCGCATGGAACATCCATATGAAGAAAACAAACAGTAAAACAACCAGCAGAGCTTTTTAATACAAAATTTAAAAGAAACAAAAAAAAAAAACACAACAAAACAAACTCTTACATTTTTCTTGTATATACTTGTAAATAATGAAAGAATGAAGTGGGGTAAAAGTGTATTTTGAATATTCCCAATTTTCGAAGTCAGTAAAAAAGAACAAAAAAAACAAACAAAAATGTATGAATGACTTTGTAAATTTTGTTCTATATGAATAAAAAGGCAAACTACTTGTGATCGTTCTCAAGTGCCAAAGAAGACCAGTTACTGGGACTGAGGGCCGTACTTTTTCTTTCCGTGGATTTCAACATTTATTCCCTTACTGTTCTTTTTTAAGAGAAAAAATTTATCTGTTTCTTGCTAGAAAAGATCACCATGCTAAAATCTCTCCTTTCCCTAGAACCCTATTTTATAGTCGATGGCAATTCACTCAGAGAATTTAACAGCTGGTATTAGTATAGCAGTAACAAATGTTTTAAGTGTGAATTATAACTAAAATCCAACAAACATTTTTTTTTATCAAGGATTTTTTTTTTCCTTTGAACAAGGATTTAAACTTCCACATGGGTTCTAAGTTTAAGCACAGGATTATTGCCTTGTGTTTTTACATGTCTGCTGCGCTGTGTGGCTATTTTATTTAACCTTCTGTGTTTTGTTATATATATAATAGATATTATATA